CTTGTTTTTAAAGAAGCATGGTTACAACACTCAACAAATTGTACCATAGCTGAGGCACCAGATCATTAGAATACTGGATCGAAGTATACACAACATTTTGGTCCTTGGCTAAAAGACCATAGCCTATCTCACACATGAATGGGCAAGGGGGGGTAAAAATTTTTGATCTGTCTCTCCAAAATCGTTTTGATTTACCCAGGTTGCCAGAGAATGAGAGTCTGGATGTAGGTGCTGAAGGGGCAGTACATTGACACAGGTTTTTCTGAGTAGTAAAAGCAATGTAGTGATATAACTGTGCAGGAAACTTTGTCCAAAATCATAAAATGCTTAACTTTTTTTTTTTTCCTTATAGCACAGCCCTGTCTGTGTCATTCCTTTTTCATTTGTTGTTCTCAGCCTGGATTCCTTAGATAACTTTGCTAGAGACTTGAGTTTTATTGTAGATATGGAAAAGTGCCTAGAAGTTTTGCTCCTTGGCTGTTCTGGCTGCTTTCCAGCCTCAATAATACTCAATACGCAACACATTCAACACGCTCCAGGAATCATTCTTTAAAATAAGGCAAAAAATAAAGGACACCATACAAAATGAACTCTGTTGCTACCTTAGTTAATGACTTCAGAAACCAGTAAAAGAGAGTTGTGACCTGGATCTTTGGAAGGCTAGTCCTAACTCTGCTGTACTGATTACGTGGGCCTAAAATATAGCAACAGGTAAAGGTGGTGTAGAGGTCAATAGACACTGCTCAGCACTGTAGATCTTGAATTACTAATGTTTCTATGACCACCCAATAACCAAAGAATTTGGGCAGCACACATTTCTGTGTGTGCACACATTCAGATTGTTGTCAGTGCCAGTCTGGGTAGCGCCTGCTGCTGACAGTAGTGAAAATGCGTGCAGAGACACCTGCGCTGCCTTAGACAACTCTCCTAACAAAATCTTAGCTGACTTCTGTGAAACGTTTATGGCTACATACAACTCAAAGAAAAATACAGAATAACAGATGGAGTTACATGTAAAGACAGCAAACTACATTTCAAAGCTGTCTGAGAACATGACACCTAATACACACTCTACATCCAGGTGGTATAGATAATCATGCCCACTTGACATCTCCAAACAAAATACTGATTTCTGTTGCTTGTTAATTTGCCAACAGATTGTTTGGGCTGTAAATTTTCGTGCTGGGTCTCTGCCCTAAGCTGATTGTGTCTGCATGTGTGTGTGTCCATATGGATAAAATAGCAGAAATCAATTGCTCAAAAGGAAAAATAGTAAACTTCACACTGTTAAGCATTTTCCAAGTATTTATTTGAAGGCATAGTGTGCCCAGCCTTTCAAGCAAGTGCTTCAAATTTGGTGGTTTGATTACTTTGGTTAAGGATGTGTCTACTGACAGCTTGTAGACTGATAAAGTTCTCCTTGCTTGACATCCATTGGTTTTATTTAGAGGCTGAATTACTTGTCCATTTACAGTTCCTAGCAGACTGAAATGATTAACAGAATGGGCTTCTACATGGACTGCAAGGGGCCAAGACTGCACGTGTTATTCTTTCTCATGCTGGAGAGAGAGCTTAAACATCGAAGCCTTGCAACTTAAACATCTGCATCAAACCTCTCAAGGAAGTTTTGCATGTTCCCCAGAGCATGCCCCGTGATCACTGTTTGTGCTTTCAAAGACATGTGATAAAGGCAGAACACAACGCCCAGACTTTCCACGAGACTTTTAATACATTTGCTCTTTACTTAGAAGGTATATCAGCAAGAAGATAAGATGAAGAAAAAAGATAAGTGATATTCCTATCGTGTGGTTTCCTCACTCCTGAAACAGATCTGGGACTGTGCTAAGTGTCTTTCAGGTTTCTACAATTCTTTTTTGCTGACCTTGACCTTCTTTCAAGTGCTCCTAAACATCAGTTTATTTTGACATCATTCTGTCCTACCATTACATTGGTTCTTTCTGGTTCAAAGGCCTGCCTGTCTCTTCCTCTATGCTACTCAGAGCTTCCTGTGAGCTTCAGTGAGTCTGTTTAGGTTCCCTCACCACTCATGGAAACTGTGTGTCCTTGAGCAACTTACTTAGCCTCTGCCTCAGTTCCCCCTTTTGGAAAGGAAATATTGGTATTTCATGTCCCCTACCTTTTGTCTTAACCTCTGGTTCAGCTATAAGAAAAAGTAGGCTAGGGTTTCATCCAACACATGTAATAACTTATTTTTACTGAGCGTTGAGGAAGGATTTCACAAGAATGTGGATACACAGAAGGGAGAACCTGGACACACATGACTGAGGTAGTTAAGAGCAGTTACCGTTCTGAGGCAGCCGATGAACTAAGTCAGGCAGAAACTCCAGACCTTCCTGTGTGCTGAATGTCCTGGCTGACACAGGCTTTGATAAAGGAGGATATTATTGCTTTTCTTGCAACTTCTGACCTGCTGCCAGATATTGTCCAACTGTGGACAGTCATCAAAAAGCTTTTTTTTTTTTTTTTTTTATCAGAGGATATGAGTGACTGTTACTTCCTTAAAATGAATTCCAAATAAATAGCTGAAATGTATTAAACCTCAGACTATCTAGGAAAAAAAATGTAAAACCTAAATCCTTGGGGGGTGAATTTGACAGTTTTCTGTTCTAATGAGAAATTCAGCCTATTCACTGATCTTTATTAAATACAGGCTTCAAAGAATTTGTTCTGTAGCTGAAACAATAGTTAGATGAGGTCTCACGGGAGCCTAGCAGGGCCAAACAGCAAGAAGGTGAACCTCTGCTCTAGGGGTACAGTGCCTGGCTCATCGGGGCGTGGATCCTGCCTTGGCCTGCGGGCTACTCCATAGGGGCTGTGAGTCCGCACACAAACCCTGCCCCGAGCTGGGATGCACCTGACCCACCGACTCCGTGGGCTGTGCAGGAACACAGCCATGTGTTTAGTTCCTTTGTACTCCCAGAATCTCTCACCGTCAGGTGCATTTAATCACCTATTAAGTTGTAAACCTGATGTTGTGCAAAACTATAAAGGAATCTGCCATGTTCACATGCGTAAGTAACAGGCATTTTGCTCATTTACTTTTGGGTGGTTTTTATTTAGAGCACACACAGCCTGAGACTTGGTGAACCAGCTTCAAGTGCCCGCCTGATGGTTCCATTAGCTTTTTCTCTGCTGTAAATAAAATTAAACAGGTTCAAAATTGTTCTACAAAGTTAATGAGGGAAATGAAGAACTGTAAAGTAGCAGTACAGTTTTTAAAATATTTGGATCGTGTCTTTTAAATTGTTATAATATTTCATTTTAGCTATATTATTAAAAAATAATTAACTTACATAAAATGCTGCATGTGAAGTACTTTCAAGGTCACACAGCTGGGAAAACAAAGGTTTTGTCTTAGAGCACTAGAAGGAACCCCAACAAAAATACCCATGCTGTTTTAAATATCCACCTTAATATTGGCAGAAGACCACTTCAGGTTTCATTAGAAGGCACGGTGTGAGCTACTGTACTTGAGATCAAGAACCAAAGCAAATCTAAAAATTGTGTAACATGCAAGGCCAAGGAAGTAAGGTACTGAGTCCTATTGCTCCATCCACTGCAATAGACTCCATTGCAGCAATGCATTAAGAAACTGAAGTAAGAGGTAAGACAAGGCATTGCAATATCTCAGCAACATGAAACAGGGCTGGTTCAGGTACACAGAGCTGAACTTTCAGTTTAGTATGAAGGAGCAGAACTTCACAGCTCTCACGAATGCTAATGAGTCCCATGACTAAACTGTGGCATACTTGGAAAATGCAGTCCATAATACCTATAATCGCAATCATCATTTGGAAACTTCTGACCTATATGCAAACTTCCAAGGAGCTACCACTGCAGATACACTATCACTGCAATTATGGGTAGCCATGGAGCTCTAGTATTGTGTATATATAATACATTGTTATGCAAACACACATCTACTTTTAAACCTCAGCTTCACAGTGATCGTGGGTTTAATTTCAAAGCATCAAAAAGGAGGCTGAAATAAAGTCTCCTGCAAATAGACCTCGATCAAATCTAGAAAGAATTTTTACAAACAAATTGAACACAGTCAGTCTGAAACCCTAAAATGGAACCGTGCAGATCGGGACTGGACAGCCACAGCAAATGTTGCACTTAAAAATGCAACTTCTACTTGTTAAAACAATTCTTGTGTCAGTTTAGTATTTAAATAGGAAAAGACAGTTTCAAATACTATTAGATTTTTCCTCAGACAATGAGGAAATTCCCACCAAACTCTTTACATGAGATTCAGAAAATGCCCCTTAGAAACAGTGCTTGGGTTTTTCTATCTGATCTCAGACTAAATAATTTAACCTTGTGAAGCAGGTCCAGCAAGTATTTAATCCCGACCCTTTAGCCTGGGTTCACAGATTCACTAATCCTCCATATGCCACTGTACAACTAAAGGCGCTGCAAAAGCTGTGAAAATCATATTCCCCCCCCCACCCCATCCCCCCTGAGACTCACCAGAGCCTGAAACTTCTCCCCACAGCCAGCGAGGTGCTGGCTGGCACCATCCGTGGCGGCTTTGATCCGAAGGAGCAATCCGGAGGCTGAGACGGGGCAGCCTGGGAGGATGTGTGCAAACAGAAACCAACTGCACCTGGGGTTAACAGTTCTCAGGGAGAGCAAAGGCACGAAGCTGAGACAGAACGATTTGCCTTTCCAAAAGGCTCTAATGCATTCTTTGTGTTAGCAGAAATACCTGGACCCACAGGCTGAACTCTCGAGTGTCACATGGGTGACAGAGCTAAAAAAGGCAAGCTCATAGGCGTAGTTTAAACTCCCCCAATAAGTTAGTGTTTTCCCCTGAGACTGTTTATGTGCCTCTTCCAAGCTTTTCTACAGTTTTCCTGGAATTTTAGTATCTCACTCTCTTTGGTTTCATACTTTTTCACTCTTTTATTTTTAGATTCAGTATTTCACAGTGGTCTGTAGAGTCTGCTTGACGCCAGCAAATGTAACTGGATCCCAGATCCCTGGAAGCCAGGAATTGCAGCCATGATCAGCATGCTGCCGAGAGCGCAAACCTTGGCACGGCTCAAAACCAAATAGTCTGAATCCGCTATTTATCTTATGGCAGGGCTTGGGAAAGGAGGCAAGAAGAGTTCATCAGAGCTAAGTAAGTAAATAGAAATCAAAGATGCAAATAGGTCTGTTCTACAACAGATTTGTGTGACCAGACTTCCAAAAGCAAGAACAGGGATTTGCAAAAAAACCCAGAGATAATTCATTCTCTAGTAACCTAGTAACAGGACAGGCATGCACAGAGCAGATTGCCTTTAAAAAAGGCTTGTGTCAGCAAGGTTGACTTTAGTGGAATAAATAAGAATAGGCTGCTTGGCAGCAAGTCACTGCTGACAATAATCTTACAGGTCAGATTTTCCAAGTTATGATGGCTCGCTTGATACACACGGAACTGCAGCTACCAGTTCTGTTCAGGATTAATATGGGCCATCATCCTCCACCCAGCCTTTGGTGAGTAGGTGTCAGGATTTTACCTCACTCCTCCATGGTATGCAACTGGAATAAATCTGGTCTCTGACACTAAGGAGCTGAATTACCTTGCTTGAACTTTTTAATTTTCTGTCACTTCTGGCCCTTCTTCCTGTAGCAGAGAACAAAATGAAGGATTGCCAGTTTATCTGATTGAGAAACTGTTCATCCTAACTATTCTAGGATCTGTAACTGTGGTAACTGGTGTCTACAAGGGAGTGTGACTGCCTCACGGAAGAAAAAAACAAGTGTGTATCGAGGCAGTTATTTCCCAAAGGTGACATGATGAGTCAGCAGCAGAGCCCAGATTAGAATACAGTGTTCAGACTGCCCATCCCATCTGCAGCTCACTAAACCACTGTTCCTCCTGCAGCCTCCAGGGAATAAAGTTCATTTAGCTAGGTGGTAAATGCTCAACTCCTGCCCTCACACTTCACCTTGTTATTTATCTAAGTTTTGGCAGGCTTAATTGTTTGTTGCCAAGAAAGAGTGCAAATCAAGGAAGACAGAGAAAGCCTTGGTCTTACCATGGAACAAAGGAACACCACAGCAGCAAAACTTCACCTGGCAAGAACAAGAACACTGGTCTGCCGATACATATAGATGAATATACATTGTAGATGGTGTGTAACACTGAAATTGCTTGAAAATTATTTTTTTTACAAGGCAGCTACTCTGTCTCTTCATAAGCAACAAATGCAGAGTAAAAGAACTGTAAAGCAGAGATCTTAAACAGAGTAACTCATGTTATCTGTCAGTTTTCTCCACTGCATAAAGAAGGTTCTGTGTTTTGGGGTGCTTTTTATTCCTGGCAAATTTAAAACTGGTTTTGGCAATTATGTAACATGAGCATGTTTCCTTGGCATAGATGGTATTCAGTATTCATATTTGCTAAACTCGGACAGCGAGTCTGAAGTAGTTCTGACAGCGGTAAGTGATGCCACTTTACATACATGCAGGAAGTGTTCTGCCTTCAGTGGTCTGCTGTGGCATGAACTGGGAAGAGATTGTAAAAATTTGCCCTCTGTCATCTTCTGCTGTACTCTCATCCTCTCATTTTTCAATTACTCTTTGTATCACAGTTCCTCTTGGTTCTCCTTGACCTTTCTAGCTCTTTCTTATTGTCCCGGTTAGCAAACTCTTAAAAGGAAACACAAGAAAACAGATTTTATATACTCCGAACACTGAATATCTCAGTTTTTAATAACTGCTGTTGCCACTGTGATGCTTCAGTGTCTCATCATGTGAAGCACAGCTAAAGTGGAAAACTTACTAGTCTCCCATATTGATGCAACTTCTCCATAGAGTTGTTCTTCTCATCAAGATTTTTCCTTAAATAACCCAAAGCCTTAGCTTTCTCTTCCTGCTGCTGCCTAGCAGCCTGACACACCTACTTGAAAATGCTTCAGACCATGGCTTAGTGATGTGTCAAAGATTCTTGCAATTTGTCCATTGGCAATTTGCCTCTTGACTTACTCTTTTTTGGTTCTTAATTGGCAAAGCAGTAACGTTGATTTGTTAAGAGAGTTTCTGATCTGCTATTTATTTTTTTCTCTTTTCTAACATTCAGGATGTAGACAGATTACATGGGAGAGTGTGAGCTGAAAGAGCAGTTGTCAGAGAGCTCAGAAGTATTAAGACTGTCTCAGGAAGCTCTGCTTGGTCCACAGGGCTTGGAGGAGGTGCTCAAGGTAGACAGTTGGGTGAATGCTGAGAATGGGCTGGTTTCTGTGGAACTGGAAGCAGCTATGGACTATCTACCACGAAGGAGTCTCTTGAGGTTAGCACAGCCCAAGATGTAATTAGCATTGAAAAGCAGGTGTGACCACTGGGACAGAAAATGTGTGACAGTGGGCTGTGTCAGTGAAATGCTTGGGAAGAATCCTCCATGAGAAAGCATGAACGGCTGCCATACAAGCCCTCACAATGCTGAGACCCAAAGTATAATTTCGGGGTATATATTACATCCTATTTAATTACTTACCTCACTAAAAGTGATTTTAAATGTGGTATGTATTTGTATACAGCTTTGAATGTACACGGCAGTGCTTTTTCGATGATGGATGGTGAAGAAATGTTTGTGCTGGGCAGAAAATGCAGCCAGGTATTCGAGGAAGCCTACGTGGTAGCCTCAGGCAGTTATAAAAAGAAAATGGGGTGCTGCTTAGACGATTTAACAGTAAGGACTGAGTTACCACTACTGGTCATGATTCATCGACTTTTTGCATTTCTGTCACCAAGAAATATAGAGGAGCGAGTCCCTGAGAGCAGAACACACAAGAAGCCTTAAGCTCTCAGCATGTAAATATTTGTAAAGCAGACAGTGAGTCCTATGCATTAGGGTAAACATAAATTCTTCTGTTTTATTCTCAAATGCAAGTGTATTTTATTCAAACCCTAATTTGTGTGCTGTGTAGCTGTCACTAATAAACAGTTTCTTTTCAACTAATCTCTAAAGAAAGATTGCTTCCTACTACCCTGACATGTTTTCTGAAGGCACGTAGCTGTTTACTTCATTAACTTACTCTTTCTTTTTTTGGACATGGTAAAAAACTGTTAATCAAGGAATCTGTATTGTGGAGAAGGAAGATTTTAAACCCAATGATATGGAAATAATTGTGGAATGCATTGATAAATTCAAATCCAAAGGTTTTTATTCAGTCCTGTAACTTCAAAGAGATCAAACTTAATTATGTTTTTGAGAGGGGATGAGAGTATCCATGCAGTCTAACTTGCAGTACCTACATTTGGGGTCTATATGGAAAGAAACAGACTCTCATTTTTCATTTGAGTTACTTTCTGGAAGATCTTATATTGCTCTTTTGAGTACAGAGTGTGCCAGGATTAGCAGAGCCAAACCATTTTACATTAATTCCTTCAATGTGAGGATTTTGCTTTAGACTGAGAAGGATGTGATCTCCTCTCTTGCTTCACTGGGAGTGAAAAATTACACGTCTGTCAAATGTTAACCAGATTCAGATCTCTGAGCTAGAGTGCTGTTTTGCTTAATACATGGTTTTCATTGACACATTTTTTAAATGCAGTTCCAAATCATAGCTGACGATGTGCCTGTCGTTTATGCCATCACCCGAAATGCTTAAACATCTACTTTCATAAGTATTTCCTTCATATAAGGAAATAAGTATACCCCTCATTGCTTATGGATCATGATCTGAATTTATCAATAGACTGAACATTTGTTTATAACAAATACTTTGTAATTCCTTTGACCTAATTCTTCATGTGCAGAGAAATTACCTGAATTAGCTGTAACAAGTTCGGTGATGAAAAAACATTATATATGCAAAGAACATTTTCAAGGAGCTCAGTTTCCTAGCAATACCATTCTATTATTGACTTGGACTTGCTTTTTGAGTGTTGTTACAGTATTTTTACTTGCTTTTTTTCTCGCTATTTTTGGATATGATTTATGGTTGCTTATCTAGATCAGTAACCAAGCCCGAAGGAGGCAAGTGCTTTCAAAATTGCAGGTACACAGACCTAGGCAGGGCAGACAAGCAGATGCCTGGATGTCTGTAGCAAATAAGAATCCTGGCTACAGTTAAATATGTTACTACTAAAATGAGCAAATATGTTTTTCCAAATAAATTAATTTTTAGATGATACAATTTTTTACAGTGCTTAAAAGTGCATTTTTTTCTCAGAATAAAAGTACTCTATCTGGTCTCTTCTTACATCATTCTTCTGATAGACTTCATTGAATTCTCCATATTGACTAAACTATGCCTTATGCCCTCATTCTTGTGGGTTAATACTCAACAAAACTAAAAGCAAAATAACATCAACAAAATCCTGGATTTCTTAGAGAAATTACTGTACCTGGCCTCTTTGATATTCTAAGATGATATAATAGTTAACATTTTGTTTGCTTTACACAGGCTCTCAAAGCCCTTGAAATCTCCATGTAATATATATTGCTTTATAGGTGGAGACACTGAAAACCAGGAACCAAATCTGAGCAGGGGAGTGAACTCCCATATGACTATTACATCATTTAGAAGTATCACCAGCCTCTCTCTTTCTTAGAAGAGAACAGTTATAAACAGAACACATTACTAAATAGCAAACTAGATTTTTTGTATGTCTGGGACAGATCTCTAAGTCTGAAAATGATAGTCTAAGACAATGCAGAAGTAGTATCATTTTGGAGAAAAAGAACTCTTTCATTTTGTTTACCTCATAGAACTGATGACCAGAATAATTCTCATGAGTTTGATAATTCTGGGTGAGCTAGAGTGTCATGAGTTCATTCACGAGTGCAGCAGGAAGCACTAAATTGTTGGGCTGCATAAACTGCCCTCATAGCAGTTCAGCATCTCAGCAGAGACAAAGCCAGGGAGAGGAGGCCAGAGTCCTCCAAGTCAACAGTTACAACTGAGTTATGATAAGGACTTGTGGGAGAGAATTCTGGGTTTTAGTCTGAGACCTCCACCGTCATGTAACCATGGATGAATTCTCCATGATACCATTAATAACATAATCAAATAATATAGTATTGGATCTTACACCATCAACATGGTCAGCCTTCCATCCAACTGCATGGAGCAGCAGTAAAGACACATAGATAATTAGGATTTTGACAAATATGTCCTAGCTGTGTATGTATGTTAGATGCAAAATATTACTATTATAGATGCAAAATATTATTATTATAGGTCCTCTTAAGTAAGCAGAAGTTTCATTGAAGACAGTACTGCATAACGAGTGGCATACATAGATCAGGCCAGGATTTCAACTGAAATTGTTGCAACAAGGTCTTTAGAGTTTCATGGCTGTTCATTCTTGCTTATCCCATATAGACATACATAGGAAAAGCAACTGTAAAGCACATTTACCTTCATGATACAGGTCAAGAGCCGGAATGAGAACAAAGACACTCCTTGGTGCTGATAACAACTGTTTTGTGGTTGAAACTGGAACCCTGATGCTCAGTGCCTTGTTTTATGTGGTAGGGTGGGCGGAGTGCCTGGGCTCCATGTTCTCCTGTTATCAGCTGGGAGCAAGTGCTGGAGTTTCTCTCCTAGTGGAGACTGACTCCTGATGGGGCTCTCTAATTTGTACAGAGGGCTAAAAAAGCTTCTTCAGTAAGTTTGCTTTGTAAAGGAGTTTGGATCCAGTGTCCTAATTTTAGGAAGAAGGAAAAACAACATTAAAAATCAAGTCAATGAAAACAGCTTGTTGGTTCTTGTTATATCTATATATACACACACACATATATATATACACACACATATATATAACCAAACATACACATATATGCCCTATTATTTACAAACCAAACAGAACTGTGCAAAGGTATTAGTAAGTGAAACTCGGTAAATATGATTTCTGTTAATTTATCTAGTTTCCCTCTTTAGAAAGAAAGTGAGACTATGGAAACTCTAGTCCATATTAAAATAGCATAATAGTTAAATAGTTAAATTTCAGATCTAATAATTTAATTACTTAGTAACAATAATAACAACTTTATTTTTTTAATTTTATATTCTAACTATACAACTACAGACAGACTCTCATTTGCATAGCGAGACAATCAGGGCCACCACTGACATCTCAGCACAGTGCTTCTTTCATAGATTCATAGCTGGAGAATTTGATACAAAGTCACAGACCCTTTATTTTTTTTAGTGTGACTTTAATGAGGTTCTGTGTCTTGCCCAGCATTTTCCTTAAAGACACTAGAATGTGGGAAGTGAAGCCTTTCAGTGATGAAAAATTGCAGAGTGTAGGTTCTATAGCCACTGCAAGAGTAGCATACAGATGAGAAAAGGAACCTTTTGCAGCTTCTGAGTTCACATGAGCAACAACCTGAACTTTTTTTGGTCATTCCTCGCTATTAACCATATAAAAAGTAGAAGATCCTGTAAAATAATGAAATAAATGCTAATTAGAGTGACCTTTCTCTAAGCCTGATGAAGAACAGAGCAGAAAAACAACTTGGGATATGAAAAGCCTCTGATCATGTTTAATGTTTAGATTATTTCATGCTAGTGACAGCTTGATATTTCTAATGGTGACTGTAACTGTAAAACATGACTTCTGGTCTAGTGGTGATGCTTCGAATCTCTCTGCAGAATTTCAGTTAAGGCACCTCAAACCGTTCCTGAAGTTCTTTAGATAGATGAAGGGTACCTGGGAAACAGCTGAACACGTGTTCAGCCATACTAGTTACTTTCTAGCAAGAAAAATACCACTGAGCTAATAGTTTCCATCATGGGTAGGGTTAAGTGAGTTTCACTTGCACATCTCCAATTGCTGTCTATGAAGCATGAGTCAGGAGGAACCCTGCTTGACTTTAGCCTCTCTGGGGAACAGGCAGACTTGGCAGTTCAAGGAAAAACTTGTTTATAAGATGAACAAAAGACAGACAGATTGAAGCAGTCCTCCACAATGTCACTTTTAGAGTCACTTTTAAGATTAGGAACGCGCTTTAGCTGCGCCTGTCACCTGCTCTCAAGTCTGTTTACTGTACACATTACTAAGTGCAGTTATTATTGCTTGCTCTCCTTCTCAGATCTGGGTGTACCTTTTCAAAAGACCTTATGGAAAATGCCTAATGTAAACCTAGCTTGGCCTCTGAAAGTCTGTCAGCTTTCTATCCATTGTTCAGCAGAGCACTGGTTATCTGACACTGCATACCAGGGAGGTTAAGTGAATGTCAGCTCCTTTAAAGGCGCAGGTACCTGGAGCACTGAAGATTTGAGTCTGCCCTTCATATGTGGTTACATGAGGTCTTTTTCAAAGTCATTATCCATGACTCACTATATTACCTAAACGGTTTTGGCTATTTCAGACTGGGTCTAAATTCCAAACGACACCTACCCTTAAGGCTTTTTATATAAAGGCAACTGGGCTCTTGCATATATGGTAAAACAGGCTGATGCGCTTTGCATATTTTTCTGCTCTTCAGCCAGTCTGTCTAACAAGGCCAAAGACATGCTGCTGACTCAGGCCCAACACCTCTTACAATTTGTAGGAGTTCTGTGTCTTCAGCCAAGTATCTAGAAGAGACACAGGGTAATTCATTGGTGAAAGAGGCACTGTGAAGCACTGAGGGCAACTACCAAACCAGAAGTGAAATTTTAACTTTAGTTAAATTGGAAAACTCTTTAACTTAGAGGTGTTCCTGTATCTCTGAATCTTACATGTTTCGTATCCTCTACATTTACGGTATAGGCAAAGAGCAAATACCAGCAACAGTTGAGGTTTACCTTGCAAAGGGAAATGCACAGCCCCAGCCGAACTAGCATGAGAGCAACGCCACCTTTAGAAATCAACCTAATTTTTGCACACTCAGTCTGTTTGGTTTAGGGGGCATTCATATTTCTCCCATACCTTCTTCTTCACACAGCTGTGGAGATACTCAGATGGGAGAGCTTTTGCACCATCTTGAGGAAGGAGCTCTTTGGTTTATATATCCAGATTCTCTTTTGTGCAGATAAGCTCAGTGCTGGAGTGCTGACTGTGCGAAAACTGATCCCCCGCTCTTGGGGGCACGTTTGCACCAACCCCAATAAAGCTAGAGAATCTGAAGAAAATGTTTTCCAAAGCAACCCCAACCAGTCAGGGAGAATCGAGAATCACTGAGAGCTGATTCTCCTCAGTCCAAACAGACTTTTGAAAAGGTGGCTGAAGTTGATTAGAAATTTTTAGTAACCAGAGCACAACATTTTTTATCACAACACTAAAGTCTCTTTCTTTCCTACACCCACTTTTGAATAATTCACAGCTGAAAACTCAATTCACTTGGTGAACATGAAAGTTGGCCTTTGATCTAGAACTAAGCATGGGGAGCTTTGACCCAAGAGGAATGTATTTATTAAAGCTAGAAATAGTAGAAGCAAGGGTGTTAAACTGACTACAAAAACTGTGTTTTTTAAGGCTACTGCCTGAGTTCGCTAAGGTTGTGTATAAAGTTTCAATTTATGGATAAAGTATAAAATATATTTACTGGAGCTATTTCTTCTGTGCAGTTCTTCCCAAAATCAAGAGTTAGTATTCTAATAATTTTCATTTATTAACAGCTTTTGAGCCCCTTTGCTCCCCTTGCCAGTGGTAGTTCTGTAGGTCCTAGGACATAGGCAGCCAAGGTCTGACACTGAGGAAGCTTCCAGCCCCTGCATTGCCTTAGTCTCTTTGAACTCCTTCTCAGAAGACAGGGATCCCTATACAGAGGGAGATGTTGAAAAGCTTCAAGGGAACAGTTTGAGATACAAATATGCAGATCATCATTCTGACATCATTAAACTCCACTGAAGATTCAGTGATGTCAATGTACAAATTCAATGTGGCTCAACAGCTGTTTCGTCCTAGGGTCCCAGTCAGGTTAATTTACTTCTGGGTTTCCTTCCAGAATTGAAAGGAAACCAGGGGACATTTTCAACCTTGAGAGATAGACATGAATTGTACTAAGTTTGTTCTAATACTACTCTAGTAGTTCTCACATCTTCAGATGCCTAAAGGCAGGAGATCTATACCTTTGGTGTCACCCTATAAAGACAAAACTGTGGTAGGCTGCAACACAGCCAACTATTATTTCATGCATTTCCAGATGAGGAAAAAAAATGAAACAAGAATCACAGTCATCTCAGGCCAACCACACAGGGCCCAGATCTATGCACTGCAGGTTTGAGCCAGTCTGCACCAGCTCGTCAAGGAACTCGGATCCTTTCCTGGTGTGGTACATAAAGGCAGCATCTCCACTGGCTGGAAGCAGTCTGGCACTATGTGTCCAAGTTTCTATGCTACCGTCACAGCCATTCCCATCTTCCTGCCCAGAATGCAGAGCAGCACAGTACACATTACTGTACTGAGCAGGGATTGGGTTCAGAGAGGTCTTGTGTTGCTCAGTTTTACAGTCCCATGTGAAACTGGTGGTTTAGTATTAGTGCATTTTTTATCAATTGGCTGGTGGGGGATGAGAATATTGCACAGCCAGATGTGACTCACGGGGGATCCCACGAACATGGAAGGAACCTCTCTAAAATAGGTTACGGGTAGCTACCCATACTCTACTCAGCTTCATTCTTACTTTGCCTGTTAGCTGTAATAAAACAACCAAATGCCTTTAACAGATAAGCGATGCATTTGGGGACACTGGCTTACTTGCATTTACATAGAACTGGGGATAACAGCTTTGTGTTTGTCGTTTAATAACGGTTTGAAGCCTATCTATGATAAAGTGCTTAGCAGTGAATGGGTACTTTTAGTATTCAGAATAAGCATTCGAAATCAGAAATAGTAACTGAAAAACCTTCCAATCACAAGGATCCAATATGGATAAACTTGAGATTTTTTGAGAGTGTCACTGCTGAGACAGAGAAACATCTGTAAGCGCAGATGACTTTAAATGAGGCTGTACAGCTAATAATAGATTGCTTTCTACTAATTGCAAAGCTGTAATAAAGCTAAAATAGAAATGTTCCTATTTTCTTGCCCAACAAAATATATAAGATGCTGTACTGATATGTCAGTGCCACCCAGTACACTCAAATTTCTTCCAAGATTATTTTTATAGATGATTCTCTGACTCCCTGGTGAACAGACTCTTAAAGTTTTTTGCCCTTGGGAAGTCTGAACAAGGCTTTAATTTCTGTTGAAACAGAACAAGGCAGTCTGGGATCTTGCATCATATTCTCGTCGCCATATTTCCTTTCCTATGCACATCAGTAGCAATTTGAAAATATTAGTTAAAGCATCCACAGCTTGTATGGGGAAGCTGCATTGCACATCCAGACTCATCCAAGTCTGACTGGACTTTGACCCCTTAAGGCAGTCTGCTCCAGTAAGGGTGTGATCTGATGAACCCGTTCCCAGCACATCAGCACTGGGATGCAGCAGGGGGCGGTGATCAAATGAATGGGGACTACATGCTATCCTGAGCATATGCTGTATCATTTTGGAGATCGTATTCATCGTCTGACTTAAAACATGCATTCTGCATGGACTTACATTTTTTCCAGTGGCATAGTTTCAGATTTGAGTTCAACAAGAGGACAAGCGGGAGTAAATCCTGTCCTCTCTCCTCATGACTCAAAGAAAGTGGCAACTTCCCATGTATTCTTACATCGAACGTTCAGAATGCCAAGGCCAACAGTGTGATTTGGGTTGCCAGGAGCTCCTAAACAAAACACTGGCACTCTTGCATTAATCCAAGGTTTCTGGCTCACTTTTAGATTATGGACCGGCCTGGAAGGAGTTAACAATAATTTCCTTGCTGCCCTGCAGCAAATTCTCCTGCAAAATATCTACAGGTAGCTAGAAAAAAATACCTACCAAGGTATATGAGCATGGGGGCATCTGAAACCCTCTTCTGCAGCCAGCAGACAAGCTGTAACAAGCATCTTTACTGATGGCTATATGTAAAGTTACTAATGGTTGTGGCAGCATCGGATGGAGGAAAGGGGGAAAGGGGTTGAATTTCTGAAGCCACTCTTTCAGATTAGTTTATTCAAATCCTGGATCATAAAGGTTTGTTAATGCCTAAGTCTTTCTCGGAACATTAAAAAAAAAAAAAAAAAAAGCAAACTAACACTAGAGCTGTGTTCACTGGTAGTATGGGAGTGCTGGAACTGGCATGTCATGGCTCTAGACTGAAAAACTCCAACTACAAGGATATAAAGAACATGTGAAAGCTTCTGCAGCCAAGTGCTTGCAATCCATAAACCACAAACTGTATGTGGGCTTGTGGAGATGAGAAGCACTGCAATTCATTAGTGAGCACAGCTGCACATGTAGATAGAGGACTCTATATCCTAAGATGTGTTTGGAGCCCATGTAACTGTATCGTGCGTGAGCCATTGCCATGGTACAACTGGCTGAGCTGTTCTGAGGGACACAGATGCTGTTCAAGACACTGTCATAGTTGTGCTTACTGAGCTGTAGAATCCGTGACCCAAAGTTTGTGTATGTGTAACGAACTGTGCAACGAGGCCTGGAAAACAAGCACAAAGATTTATACCTTTATACCTACACCTCGGCCAGTGTAAAGAACTGGGGAAAAAAAAAAAAAAAGTCATTATGAGAAATTGAGCTGTTTATCATATTTTGCTTCTCAGCTGCAGGGAGTCAAGCCTGATAGAGCAGCTGGTGGCCAAACAACTAGACAAAATAAATACCTGGTCACAACAAAAGTGCTACCAGTAAGCAGTTAACATCTGATTCTAAATTAGAGCTTCACTTCTTGGAAGTCATCTGTGAACTGTCCCCTCAACAGAAGGTTACAGTGTGCCTGGATATGATGTAATTGCTCTGGCACTAACAACCTGCTGTGAACTAACTCTTCTGGGATTATTTAATTCACAATAACTGAGTTACTGACTTAATCTGTAGTGTTGTCCAAATTAGGGCATAGAACTAGAAAGAAATTCCTTGGACCTCAGGTCCAGTCCTCCTCCTATCACAAAAAAATTGTTCATTATCAGTTGGGTGATGACCTGCCATCTCAAATTCATTCTTTTTTGAATCCTGCCTGATTCAGTGGGGAAGACTGAAGGATAACCTAGGACTAGTGGGCTATCTCCTTTTTGACTGTGTCAGCTGATAAAAGATTTGTTTATGCATTAATATCACCCTGTTGAAAATATAAAATTTGACTCATTAATTGTTTTGGGTTTTAGGCTGTCCTCTTTAATATTCAGATGCAAATACATTCATTCAGCTGGTATTGTGCAAAACAGAAGATAGTGAATATGCAGAGTACAACCACGTTGTAGTGACTTGACTTTGAATTGCACAAGTAGCAGTAAGTATTTTAAAATAATTTTTTAAAGTATTTTTCTAATGGGAGCCTCCATGAAGTATATGCTGAATGGAATAATTCTAATACCTACATCTCTGAGTTTTGACAATTTACATTTTCTGTCATTTGGTTTGCTGCAATGAGTCACACAGCATAATCATACTTAGATTTATAATAAACTTGAAAGGCCAGCAATTGTGAACACATGGTATTTATAGAATGGAGAAGTGATAACTAGTACTTTCAATGTAAGAATTTAAGCTTGCTGAAACTTTTCCAGCCAGGACAGTTTTCCACCAGAAAATGTTGATTCAGTGGAAACTTATTGGGCTATTTCTGGTTGGTCCTTAATGTTAGCATCTCTCTTTGTGCTGATGTTGAAATGTATCCTGCTTAATTGATACTGTGGATTACTCCTTCTTGCTCATTTTCTCCTTCAGCTCAGATCCAGTAAAACTGTAGGTCCATCTTTGGCACTCTAGTGCTGTGCTGGTAAACATGGAGGTACAACTTTTTTTAACAGTAGTTTCAAGTACTAAGGTTCTTCTTTTACCAAAAGGAAACTTACAGTATGAACACGTGGTTGTCACTGCTACATCCCTTCTCAGCCCAGATTATTTTCCTCCATTTACTGTCAGCTGACATGACCCATAGTGTATAAATCCGATTATCGCCACTTATATCACTAGAGTGTCCCACTGTCAAGTGGCTCCTGTGCATTCTGGGAATACCACTGTCCATCGTTTTGCTTCCAGGGCAACCTCTCTTTGTGTTTTGCATTGCTTGGAGTAACTCCTAAACGTGATGAATGCTGTTGCCTGACTTCTTGGTGAATCCGAGCAACATCACGTCGCTCTGGTCTTCAGACTTTGCTAGCTCCTATGTATGTTTAATATTGTAGCCAAAACTTCCCTTCTCATTACTCATCTTTAATCTTGCTTCAGACTGACTCAGGTTTTACTTTGCCCTGCTACTCACTCCTGTGGCAGTGCTAGTTGCTTTTGTCTCTCTTTAAAATCACATCGCATTGGATACAATAGCTGCCTCCTGTGCGGCTTTCCTGGGCCTCATTAACTCGTGCTGAAGTTTCATATTTCAGATGCCAGTTTAAGGCTTTGGTCATAATCTTCAGAGTAGTTAATGGATCAAGCCTTAGCTACATTAAAGGCTGAATTTTGATCTGTGAACCATCATGACAGCTGCGTTTCCTTGGGGCAATGTAGATTACAAAGCTAAGGAGGAAGTGTGAAGTGTATGAAAGGGAGGAACAAGGCAATCTTAACTGAGAGAAGCAAGTGATGGAAAAAATATTCAGAAGATATTCTACAGATTCAGACTTTTCAAAATTTAATCCCTCTGAACATAGATTTCCCCCTCTATCCTAGCAAACAAACAAACCAACCAACCAGCAACACCTCAGCACCATCATTAAAAGAAATCCTGAGTAAATTTTTTTCTGGAAAGTTACCAGAAAGTCTGCCATAAAATTGTGCTTTTAAATGCAAAGTTCTCAAATAGTCAAGTGCTAGAACATCTTTTCTCCCTTGTCTTCTGTTGTGTTGCTGCAGTCACAGAATGCCTCAGTGTTAAGAGATTGTTTGTATGAAGCAGAATCAGCAACAAAAATTAATGCAAAAGATTCAAATAGAAACAATCAAATGCAGATGAGCAGTCTCTTCTTCAAGAGGGACTTTTTGTGAAGCTGATGATGAATATAGTACACAGTTTATTTTTGAAGATAAACCAGACTTTTTCATTCCTATTCTAAGCTAAATTGGTGTATTTCAGGCTTAGTGTTTATCCAAACACAAAAGTCCCACTGGTTAATCTTCCATGGAGGTTTCGACCAACTCAGTTAAATGGGTATAAACACTTCTGTAAAGACTCTTAGTTTAGTTTATGTCAATTTGTAATCTGTTTATGGCAACCCAAAATAAGCTATTCTTATACTTGACAACAAATGTCAGCCAACTTCTTGCACCGATTTTGACTAAACTGATTTAAAATAGACCCCTAACATAAACTAGTGTAACTTTTCTGTAAACTGGAAACTTTCATGGGTAAACTGGAATCTTCAGTGTACTGCATGTCACGTCCTCCCTCTTGTGGCTGACACGAAGATTCACAGTGCTGGTGAAAGCACATTAAAGCCTAAAATGGATTAGTCCTTAGCCATGACCTGCCAACAGGGACAGTAAACTGACAATTATTTTGGTATTCAAACATATATATAAACACAGCTTTACAAAAAGAAAATAACAAAATACTTGAAGTTGTTAATTTGAAAAACAGGATTAATAATTATTTTGGAATAAAGTAACTAATAAATTATCAGTAAATATTTCTGTTAAAATTACTATACTAGTAGTAAAGTACTATACTACTAGTATAGTGCATTAATATAGTGTATTACTATTCGTATGCTACTGATGCTAGTATAGCTTGTGCTCTGGGAGGGTACTAGAAAAGGGAAGTTGGCAAAGATGGATAACCAGGAATTGGGGGTGGCTTGTTTGAGGTAGGGACAAGGAGAGAAGCTCCGGAGGAATAAGGCTTGCAGATTTGCGAGATGGTCTGGAAACCACATTTCTAAACTGAGTGTCCCTTTGCATTCTCTGGTGGTAGACGAGTGGCTGAAAAGCTGCAAAGGAGATACTGAGTGTCTGCATCTTTGTCCCACGGCAGTGATGGGGCCTTCATTTGCAGTGGGGGGCCATGCTGGCCTTCTGAACCTGCTCTGCCCGCTCAGATACTGAAGATGGAAACACAAACCAGTGTGACTGGTGGGTGAGGTAAGCTGTGCTTCTCACAAACAGCTGGATTATATAAAATAGATTCCTGCCTTTACTTGGTCCTTGCCTGATTGATTACCTGATCTAAGTGAGCAACCATTAGATGGTTTTCAGCGTGCTTAGGGGGAGGCTTGAAGTTGCCAGAAAGATCTCAATCCTACACTCACAGATTAATGTAACTGTTGTGATTACTGACATTTTCCCTAGGTAGGCCTGGTGCCAGATGAGTCCTCTATTCTCTTGTTCCATCCTGCCAAGGTAAAGCTGTCACATTCAGGCACAGCGTTTGCCTACTGCATATTGTACACGTTTCAAAGTGCAAGCTAAAAGCTGGGATCTCTCAATTTCTTCTCATTAGAGACGCAACAATCCTATCTTGTTGGGATTCACCTCTTCCATAAGAGCACCAGGACTGAGGAACGTAGTAAAGTTTATCTAGAGGTAAGGAGGTTCAGGACATGGGAAGGGAAGAGGAGAAGCACTACATAATACTTGTGCAGTGGGGAGGAACTTCTACTTTGCCCCTAAGTCTGGGGCTATCATCTCAGGTCATCCACAAAATGGTATTTGGGGCAAAGACAGGTGCTGGCAGAGGAAGCAGTTCTCAAGGAGAGGATGGGATCTATAAAATTCCCCTCTTTGATATGCCAGTGGTACACACTAGCAACTCATCTACCTTGACTTAACTACGGTAATGAGGCAGCTTGTGGCAGAGGCAGCAGTTGTGTGACCAGCAGGGCATCTGAGATAGCTGGGAGCTCCTGTGCCGAACAGGAGACATCCCACACCTGTGAGCAACCATGGAACAACATGGGCATTGATGGGAGGGGCTACAGCACGAGCCATGCTAGTAAGTCAGCAGTTAGCTGAAGTTTATTTCCTATGCTGCTAGAATCTAATGTAAATTAGAAGTGAACACTCAGTGAAGAGCAGCCTGGATTTTCTTCAGTTGCTTGGTTCTCAAAATGCTGACCAGCCAGCACTGGCCAGTATTAAGGACTTTCAAGGTCACTGATGCTCTTTAGAAGCATCGCCAGATTGGGTTCAACAGTGCTACATAGGTCAGGAGCAGAACAGAGCAGAGCAGAGCTGTCTTCCAGCAGGCCAAGCAGTCAACAGAATTCACTGCACCAATCAAGCTGGGCATTGCATGGGTTAACGCAAAATAATCGATGCAGGATAAAGTGCTTCTGTTTTGCATCAGAGTTGCTGGAATAATCAGAGATCTGAAATCTTATTACTCAATATTTCTTCCAACTCTATTTTCAGTTATGTTGTCACCAAATTTTGGATTTTCTAAACTTTGGAGTATCTGTAAACAACTTCAGTCTAACAAGGCTGTGCCCACTGTCAGGGAGCAGCAAGCACCAGCTGCTCCCTAAGGGGCAGGGAGACAGAACCCAAGTGCAGTAACACAGACAAGGTCCAGCCCCATGCTAACCCAGCAGGCCAGACCCAAAGATAGCAGCTAGGCTCAACCATGAGTCCAGATCATCCCACAAATTCACAGTGATGAGAAAGGACTAACAGGTCAGTCCACAAGTCAGGGCCAGGATCAGGTCTCCTGAGAGTATAGTGCAGTGATTGCTGGGCAGGTCCATAGTTAAGAGGCAGATCCAAGGTCAAGCCGGGAGGTCAGTCCAGAGGTCAGGACCAGAGAGGTCCATGGCCAGGTACAGTCATGGCTGGGCAGTACTCCTGCAGCATAGTTTGGGCCAGGACTGAAGGCCCAGGGCTGTACTTAAGCGGAGCTCCCAGGCCCACGTACAGGGACTGTGGGTGGAGAAACCAGACGAGGCTGGTCAAGGCCAGCATGGCCTATTAGTGCCCTCAGGGCCCCGAGACTCTCTGTGAAGAGTGTAGGTGACCTGTAGCAATGCCCTCAAAGAAAACGCATAAAGAAGAATAAAGAATTCACATGGGGAAGATAACTGGCTGAGACCCCAAGGAGTCTGGGAAGATAAAGTGTGTATTGGCAAAACTTTTCATAGCACATTTTGGAGAGACATGGTCAAGGGAGAGAGAGTTTATGCTTGTTAAATAAATAAGGGGTCAGTTTGGCTGCAATCTGCTCAGGTTTCTGAAAACACTTGGCTTTCATTATGTATTTGCCTGGTCACCCAGTGGTGACTCATTGTAGGATTCAGCCCTGAGAGGAGGAGAGAGGGCACTGAATTCAAAGTGATCCTGAGTTCCCTTTGTCACAGTTATTCCCATTGCTTATTAAATTAAATGTAGGGTGGGAAAGCACTTTGAGAGAACAGCTAGGCTGAGATGAAGCACCTCTTCCATACTGAAGGCCAAATAGGTCTTTGATGACCAAGAGTAACAAATTATTATTGTCATTCAGTAACAAGATGGAAAAAAATCATGTGGCTATTTAGCTTTATGATGGAGTTGTACATCTGGCTTTATAGTTGGGGCTCCTCCTCTCTGATCTCAGTTATTCCCCTGGGTTCAGACACAGTGAAGTGACAAGTGTTAGGCAAGGAAAGGTGAGAGTGCAGAAGTTATCCTTGCTGAGCAGCAGTGGTATAAGGTATTCATTGACTGGACATAATGCAAACTGGACAAAACTGTTGCAAAGTTCATCTTTTTTACATGTATTAATTCAACCCACTGACACAGACATTTTGGACATCCTGTTCACATGGTTTGCATTAAAGCATTATGAAATCCCAAATTCTGGTGTCAGATGGTTTTGGATTACTTTGCTTGTATAAAGGGTTTAATCTGGGTGCATGGAAAATGTAAAGTATTCTGGTAATAGTTTTAGCAGGACTACATAGTCTGCATTTGATTTATTCATCAACTATGCTATCTGCCTTCTGCACGTTATATTCGGAGCCATGATGAAACTTCAAAACATGAATTCAAATTTACTGACTTCCCAGAACAGACTTTGCCTGTAAAATGCTTAAAGAGATTGACGTGAAAGGAAATATTCCTGAAGATCCACTATGCTGAGAAACCACACAGTGAATAAAAATAGCCCTCTCTTTCCAAATACATGTCTCCTAAGAATGCATTGAGCCTGGTCCTGAATGTGAAGCGAGAAAAGAGAGAATGGGTAAAGGTCAAGCATACAGCTGTTGTTCCTGCCAGTAAGCACTTCGCTTGCTTTACTTGATGAGCTGAATGAGCCTTTTAGCTACTACTAACAGGGATCACATTTTTCAGATGATCTTTTCTTGGTGCAACAGATGAGCACTGGAGTATAAATATGGAGTTAACTTGAAATTAGATCTGTTGGAATTCACACATTCTGTTCTACATGGTATGAGCAGGGTGAAGCGGCCCTTGCACTTTCTGAATTTCATCCTGCATGGACCACTGTCACATCACGTACTGTGTGGCTTCTGCCTTGTCATTATTCAAAGATAGAATTACTTCCCTGATCCAGTCACACTCCCAAGTGCAAGTGCAAAATGTTCACCTGGTTAAACCAGTAGCTTTCTAGGATATAGGAATAAAAATAAGCTGGACTGTATTTTAGGAGAACACTTTAAAGTTATTTCTTTGACTGGATGTGATTTTAGTTTGTTTGTTTAAATTTACTCTAGATGGGAAGCCAGGGACTAGCTACAGACGGTCTTTCTTCAGTATCCTCTTTTCCAGTTTTTCAGACATAAATTGCTTATTTTCAGGGACAGCACAAAAGTTAAGGGCATGACATGTGAACAATTATCTTGTTCCTAGAGACATAAAGGGATGTAGGCTGATTCGTACAGAGGTATTCCTTCTAGTATTTTCATGCCCCTATTTCCCACAAGTAGTGTTTTCCTGTTTCAGCGGAGAGCGCAGAAGGGGAGGCATCAAATAGAAAAACAAAACAAAAGTTTCGGACCTGATTTGGACAAATTTAGAATTGCCAAAGACTCTGTGTTTTCAGTTGTACTGCAATAAATAGACAGAAAATAATTGACTTGCCTTACTTACATTTGATCAGTCTCCAAGTACTCTTGATAATTACTTAGGAGTCATTTTTTTATCAAGTTATTCTCTAAAAAGAAAGTGAAACAAAGCAAAACCTAGAGGAGTCTTCCAAGCTGTCATCAAAATCTGAGCTCCACGTGAGGTCTACACGGAACAGTGGTCAATTACAAGATTATAGAGGAATCATGACTCTGTGAACACTGATCTCTATTACATAGTCTCAGGTGAGTTTCCTCAGCTGTATCGCCCTGCCAATGCAACTGAAAGTAGTTGCTGATGTCAGCTAAGACTGTACTAAGACTAGAATTTTTTAGAGAGGTGGAGATGGGGAGGAGTAAGAATAATATCAACAAGCACATCAGGCAATAACGAGGTACTGCGATCTTGCTGAGGTCAGCATCACACCCAAGACTCAGAAAGGCTGACTGCAATGGATTAAGTCATAACCTTAGAGCTGAGTATATGCTGATTGCTTTGCAAAACTTCTGAGTTATGCGGTGGGGTGAATTTCAGAAATGACTTTTTAGAATTAAAGTGTCAGTAGACTTAGATGTAATGGTAGGATGGAGAAGTATGTGAAGCAGATAGAAAGCTTAACATGGCCTTTAGATGCAGGCAGTGCATCTAGATGGGTTTTTAGGATCTGCATTTGTAGAAAGTGTACTTCAGCAACCTCTGTTTCAAATGAATGATTAGCACGGAGACACTTGTGCGAGTGGTTTGTTACACTCTTTAAAAGTTTGTTGGTTAGCCTATGCTATATCAATGATACACTTTTTAAAACTATAAAGACAGAAATTTCCATCTTCCTCACTTTATCATTTTTCCCATTGGCTCCCCTATCTATCTAGAGGTAGTCCAAAAAGGGATAGAGTACCAGTGTTTTCCTCTGGAAGACTATGGTGGGTTGCTTGTGACTCTACCAAATTTTAATCATTTTAATAAATTTTTCAAGATGAATGTCTTCCTCCACCTGGTTAGACACACGATTTACATTGGAGCAACTTAATAAAACTGATTCAACAATAGTTCCTATGACCTCTTTTCTGGTAACTCCAGTGCTCCCATGTGTCAGGGTTAAGACTTGTCTACAACCGTGGTCAATCCTCAAATATAGAACCTTTGAAAATGAAGCATAGACACTTAGTCACCACCTGTGAAAAGTTTAGTTTACGTG